TCTAAAAGAAATACACTGATGACTTTACTCTTTGGTTATACTTTCCTTTTGGGTGTTTAAGACCATACAGTTGTCCCAAATAAATCAATGTATTTTTACACTTAAGGTCATTTGAGGCTATCTGTTCCTCAGGGGTCAGTCACATGGGCTTGGGAGGAGCTCTTGGCTCCTTTCTTTTACCAGTTCCATCTATGTGAAGATAAGTCAAAGGTCCTGCTCGACTGTCTGGCTTCACTTGTTTCCTTTGCGTTGACCCTTGTCTTTGTAGACTGGATACTGGTTTAAGTCCATCTTGTGGGGTCTCCATGTCTTCCCTGAACAAAAGGATAGGTTACAGGACATTTTGAGAGTCGCTTGGAACTTTGTCAACCTTGGAGGGCAAGGGGCAAAAACTGTCCTTTAAGTCCCTCTGACCACATTAGTAGAGGCCTCAAACTATAGCTGTTAAACATCTCCAATAAGGTTACTTTCACCAGTCTGGTACTTTTAATTCTTAGGCTTTCTCAATTTTTCTATTTTGGAAAATATCTCCATTCCCATATCCTTTAAAAATCTTTTACATTCTCATTTTCTTTTTTTTAAAAAAAATAATTATGAGACATAATAGCATTAACAAATAAATTTTCCATCTATTATGAGACTTCTTTTCCTGGGGATGCTAAGCAATGTTGAAAGCATTTGGGAGCTTGTATCTAATCCTTAAAAGATTTTAGGGTTACCTCTTCAGAGGGGGGAATGTTAGAGTACCCAAAAGCCCCATAAAAATAAATAAATCAAAGTAGAAGAAGGAATACATGAAGTTATCAGAAAAAAGTGATGGGGAGATATGGGAGGAGTTGGAGGGGAGGAAGTAGACATGGGTTTGATCAAAATACCTTATATGCATGTATGAAATTCTCAATAAATTATTTAAATAAATACATTATCTAAAATAAATACTAAAAAGAAAGTATTAAATGGAAAATCCCAGAAATACAATTTGTAAATGTTAAATTGCATGCTCTACTGAGAAGATTTCCAATGAAATCTTGTGCCATCTCACAGTCCTGCCTACATCTTCAATTACCCCTTTACCTGTGTGCCCATAATGTGTATGCTACTGGCCTACCTGTAGCCTTCATGGCATAATCGTGCTTGCATTCCAGACATGTTTATTTCTTTTAATGACCCAGAAGTGCAAGAGTAACAGTGCCGGTACTCTGAATTTGCAAAAAGAAGCTATAGAGTGCTTCCCTTAAGTGAAAAGGTGAAAGTTCTGGACTTCATAAGAAAAGGGGAAAATTTTATATTAAGTTTGCAAAGATCTAGAGTAAGTCATTGTTAAACTCTTACTTTACTTGCTTTATAAATTAAACTTTATCAAAGTTATGAATATATAGAACAGCACATGAGCATAATACAGGGTTTATTATCATCAGTTTGGTCATCAACTGAGGAATTGGATGGTAGACTCCATTGAAAAGGGAGGACTATTAACTACAACAAAACACTAAATGGATATTTTATGTGAATTGTATGTTATGTGAATTATATCTCTATAAAGATGAAATTTGTAAAAGAGAAAGAAAAAAAAAGAATTTACAGAATCTGTAGGAGGTGATTAAAGTCAGACAGGAAAGCCATGAAAAATGGCAACAGCTTCCAAGTGGCAGCCCCTCTGGCCTCTGCTAAGACTGCCTGTGAAAGCTGGCATCTCACCCTCATGACCCACCCTTCTGTCTTTGCTGACTTGGTTCTCATGGTGTCTTACCCCATCTGCTCTGGTTTCAAGGGAAGTTGGCAGAAAGCTTCCTCCTGAGGACACAGTGTTTCCCACCCTTCTCTTACCCCTCTCTCCACTCCACCCTCCATCCCAGCTGAGGCCACGGGTACAGAGGAACTCCAGAGTATCAGAAAGTGGTCTGTGGCCCATTATAATATTAAGATGCACTTCCCTGGGAGGAGACTGAATACGCTAATGAAAATATGATGGGAGACATGTGGGCATGCTCCAGAAAGCCCACGTTATGCAAATGAGAGAGTAAACCCACTTTATGTGATGTGAAAGCACTTGTATAGCATTTGCTATTTAAGCTACTAAACGTCTTACTTTCTTTGCATCTTTTCTAGTAAACCGTCTCTGCTTCTGCTTTGATCCAAGGAACTAATGTCTATTCAATTCCTTGTTCAGGCAAACAAAAATGTAGGCTCCCTTAAGAGGTGCCCAAGTAGCAGAGATTACAGATGTGACACTGTGCCCAGCTTCCAGGAGACTGAAATTTAATGTACTTAAATGCATTTGATTTATACATGTCTGTCCACACATCATGGGCCAGAACCACCTTATATTAATTATCAATCAAAGTTCTCTTAATAAAGGATTACTTAAAAAAAAAAAAAGCAGTTTTATAGAACTGAGTTCCTTTAACCACCTCTGTCAGTCCTGAGTGAAGAGAAAACAGAGAATTATCAATCAAAGTTCTCTTAATAAAGGATTACTTAAAAAAAAAAAAAGCAGTTTTATAGAACTGAGTTCCTTTAACCACCTCTGTCAGTCCTGAGTGAAGAGAAAACAGAGTGTAAGGTGTTCTTCCTGCTTAGTCCAAAGAGTACTTATCCCTTTTCTCTCCTAAGGAGTGGCCATGTTGAAATATCTGCTTAAAACAGGTATAGGTTAGAGACAGAGTAAGAACTTTGACCATGGCAGATTGCATGTATTAAAGTACCAAGCTACTCCTGAACTGGATGCGTAAGCGTTTTACTAAAGTCTAAAATACAGTTCATTTAAAGATGATGTGTGGTTCGGCAGTGCCAGTCAGTCACCCATGTTCCCCCACTGTGATACTTGGGACTCATCTTTTAGTATTGGAAGAGGAACACTTCCCACCCCCTGGTCCTTTCTTCCTTGTTACTGGTCAGGCTATAGCTGTTTACTGTAACCACAGTCAAGTTGAAATTTAGCCAGGAAAAAAATAGGTGCAGAAGTTAACAGGTCAGGAGATTGCTTGCCTGGCATCCGGGTCTGAGCGCCTGCAGGAAGAGGGCAGAGTTCTCCTACCCACGTGTGTAGGTGTGTGGGCTGTCATCCTGTAAGAGTTATACTTCTGTTTTGTTTTGGGACAAGTTAATAAATTTTATGCACGTGAAAGAGAAATCATGATGATTGGTATAGAAAACCGTCATCCTTATCCCTGTCAAACTTGCAATTCTAAATGACAGATTTGAAAGTAGCAGCATTTATTTTATAGAAAGTGTGATTCTGTGTAGTAAGTTACAGCATGCCTGGTGAGTTGATTATATGGTACACATTACCACACCAAATAGTCAATGATAAAATGGTACCCATTAGTTTGAATGCAAGGAGGGATCTGAGCTTCATGGGAGAAGTTTCTGAGTTTTGTCTGTGTTGAAACGTGATGTGTGCCCTTTGCAGTGACAGGGTGCAGTCGCTGTGTTACCTTCAGCTCACGAGGCAGCTTGTCTCCTGCTCATCCGATGGTGGGATTGCCGTGTGGAACATGGATGCTAACAGAGAAGAGGTAAGAAGAGCAAGGCAGGCCCCACTCTGCCTTCTGTTTTCTACCTTGCAAGCTGGAAGCTGAATGAGTGGCCAACAGCCCCAGCTTTCTCACTGCTCCGCCTAAGAATTATTATCCAACAAGGTCCTGCTTGTCTTTTAAAGGAAATTTATTTATAACTAACTTATGTTATTTGTATGTGTGTCTTTATGTATGTATATGAGTATGTATGTGTTCATGTGTATGCACAGGTGCACATTCACATGCATGTGTAGGCCAAAGGTCAATATTGGATCTTCCTCTATTACTCTCCATTTTAAGTTTTGAGGCAGAGTCTCTCACGGAATCTGGTGCTCACTGATTTGGCTAGACTAGCTGGCCAGCAAGCCCCAGGGACCCTCCATTCTCCATCTCCCCAGCACTGGGATTCCAGGCATGTACCACTGTGCCTGGCTTTTTGTATGAGTCCTGGGATCCAAACTCAGGTCCTTACACTTGCACAGGGAGCACTTCTGCCACTGAGCCATCTCCTAACCCGCTTCCCTGCCTGTCCTTTTTTTATCCTGTGTCCTATACCATTTGAGTGTGCCTGTCACTGATAAGTAGTACATACAGGTGGGCAGCATTTAGGCTGATGGTCAGCTTGGAGGACTCTTTGCAACAGCCAGCCAGCCTTCTGGCCCCTCCAGGGATTTGGACTCCTAGAGGCCTTCTGCTTAGAAGCCTGAAAAAGGTGTCACAGGCATCACCAGGCGCTTGTCAGTTTGGGAAAATGTACCTCTGTTCCATCGAGCTCTTCTGGTTGACTGTGTGCTGACATGGCTTTCTTTTCAGACAGCTTGATTTTTAAACTTCATTGAGCCACTAACTAGATGTGAGACCTTGTTTAGATAAGTGCTTTCATCTCTGAATGTCTGTTTCCTTTTCTACAAAGTGAAGTCATTGACTGAGCCTTCTGCGGCCTGCTCCATTTCTGAAGATGTTCTACCTGCACAATCTCTGTCCTTTCTTATTTTGAGTAACTTTGAAGAGAATGTGCTTGACCTTGTCATTGTATAATTAATCAATTATTCATTTCATGCAAATTTCTGAAAATAGACCTGCTTGCACAGGGATTTTTACATTTGTAGATTTTTTATAGCTGTCATCAGATGGTTTCCAGGCAGGATTTCCGCTCATCTTTGCCAGCATGAGAACAGTCTGTCTTTGCTCAGTGGCATCTATAGCTTGTGATGTTGATAGCAAAAGTTAGTTTCAAAGAAGACTTTACCGGGGCTGGAGTGATGGCTCGGTGGTTAAGAACACTGGTTGTTCTTGCAGAAGACCTGGGTTCGAATCCCAACACCCACATGGTAGCCAACAACTGTCTGTAACTCCAGTCCCAGAGGATCCGACAGCCTCTTCTGACCTCCGTGGGCATTGTGTGACACAGGTGCACTTACCTACATGCAGGCAATACATGCATACACATAAAATAAAAATAATAAAAGTTTTTTTTAGAAAGAAGACTTTACCGTTAGAAGGGTGATAATGATGTACAGTTTAACCTCAGAAACATTTAGCACCTACAAGGCGGCCATATAGTCTGGCAACTTAAGGAAAAACACACAATAATTTTTTTTTGGTGGTGGTGGTGTTTTTAAAGTGTGTGTGTGTGTGTGTGTGTGTGTGTGTGCGCGCGCGTGCGCACACACACACCGGTACAGATGCAGAGGCCAAAGGAGGACATTAGGCGACCTGCTGTATCACACCCTGCCTTACCCCCTTGAGAAAGGTCTCTCACTGACCTGGAGCTCATAGCTTTTGGCCAAGTTGCCAGAATGCCCAAACAGTTCTCTCTCTGTGCCCTGTGCCCCCTCACTGGGGTTACATGTATGTGGCCATGTCTGACATATGAGTTTTGGGGATCAGAACTCAGGACTTCATGCTTGTGCAACAAGGCTCTTAACTATTGAGCCATCTCCCCGGGCATGGTAAGTGGTTTTTTGATATTGCATTGCAATATCTATTATATTCCATAACACCATGCGGTGTGCTCCTCGGGCCGTCCTTTAGATCATTGTGTAGTTGAGTGTACCCAGGATGCCCTTGCAGTGGATGCCACGTGTGAATCCAAAGTTCCCATAAGCTCCTGCAGGTGTCTCTACTTTGTCTTGCTTTATAATATTTGTGTGAGTATCATTGAATAAACTTCCATTCTTAGAATGTTCCATAATCAGTCATCAGGGGGATTTGATCTTTGATCTATGGGAAAGAGTAGTGACGTGACTCATTTTTAGATTCTTGCCCACAAAACCCCCATAAATAATAATATGCAGTACCTAACACAAAGACATGCTCTTTGCTGGGTTTTCTGGAAGACTTGTGCGGCAAGCCACACAGGAAATTCTGATTACATGGCTGCTGCTGATCAACTTCTGTTTTTTAAAATTCTAAAAACCTTTTGGTAAGACTTAATTTGTTGTTCAGCATATTTAGCGCTGGCTCTATGGTGCTGACCTATGGTGCTTTCCTCACAAAGACCTATGTGAACTGTGAGTTAAACTTCTCAGTCACCGGTTATGTGCACCAAAACCAGCTAGTGTGTGGTTCTGTTCCTTGGGCTCCAGGCCCATTGTTTTCTAGTCTTATTCTGAGAGCACAGAAGAGGGAAAGGGAAGGTGAATTCCCTGGGTAGCCAGGGCTAGCTGTTGAAATCCTCTCCATTAACCACTTGGATTTTAACCCACCTTTGCTTCCCTGTGTACATTCTTTTAGAAAATGTAGTCAGGAAGTGAGAACAGCACTTTTCCTTCAAATTACATAATCGTGGACTACAATTGTACACCTAGGGAAAGAAAGAATGTAGTCTCTTCTGTCACGGTGCTTCCTGTGTGGGCCTGTGTGGGCAGATAACTTACTTTTAGTCATCTCTGGAAGTGGTGGGAAAACAAATTATATCAAAAAGTGGCATTATTTTTAGTAGGTTTTATTATTATTTTTCTAGATAGGTAATTGTGACAAAATACTCTGACCAATACCAACTTGGGGAGGAAAGGGTTTATTTGTCTTACATCTCCCAGGTCGCACGCAGTTCATCAGGGAGCCCAAGGTAGGAACTCAGGGCAGGAACCTGGAGGCAGGAGCTGGAGCACAGGCCATGGAGGAACGCTGCTTACTGGCTTGCTCTCTTGGCCCCTGCTCAGCCTGCTTTCTTATGCAACACAGGCCCACCTGCCCAGGGGTGGCACCACCCACAGTGGGCTGGGCCCTCCCACATCACTCATCAAGAAGATGCCCTTCAGACATGGCCACAGGCCAGTCCAATAGAGGCAATTTCCCGATTGAGGCTCCCTCAACCCAGGTGTGTCAAGTTGACACTAAAGCTATCCAGCACAGTAATGTAGTGCAGCCTGCTGCCTGTAGCTCAGATTCTCCAGCCCACTCTGCTGCCTGGAGTGTCTTTGAAGGCACCTGCAAATACTGAGTGGAGCTTTTCCAGCCCATGGTGGCTGTCAGCCCCTCCCACCAGGGTCAAAGAACATTTGCTTCCCTGCCAGATTGTAATTAGTGGTCCCTTTTTGGAAGTGGGTGCATAAAGTGTAAATGAGGGGCTGGAGAGATGGCTCAGTGGTTAAGAACACTGAATGTTCTTTCAGAAGACCCAGGTTCGAATCCCAGCATCCACATGGCAGCTAACAACTGTCTGTAACTCCATTCCCAGGGGATCTGACACCTACATGCAGGCAATACACATATACACATAAAATAAAATAATAAAATATTTTAAAAAAATAAAGTGTAAATGAGCAAGGAACAATAGTTCACAGAATGAATCTTTTTTGAAAGAGATGTTTTAAACATGTAGATTACATAGTATTTATAGTATGGTATATGTTCATGCAGTTAGGTAAGTTATCGATTAGTGGTAATAGTAAACTGGAATTATTGTCTCATTGTTCAGGTTAGATAGATGGAACAGCATGTAGAGAAGAGAGTGAAAGTCATGGTCTTAATTGATAACCTCTTTTATGGGGCTGAAGATGTAGCTGAGTAGCAAAACATTTGCCTAGCATAGGCTAGACCCTGGTTCCATTGCCAATTCTCTGTCTGTCTGTCTTGTCTGTCTTTGTTTATTTAGGGCAGGGTCTCTTGTAATCCCTGCTGTCCTGGAACTCTCTCTGCAGCCCAAGAGTCACCTTGATTGCCTAATCTTCCACCTCCTCAATGCTGGGATTATAGGTGTGTGCAGTGCTGGGAGTCAAACCCAGGGCTTCCTCCATGCTAGGCAAGCACTGTTCACGGTTGAGCTCCGTCCCTGCTTTGCTTTGTTCTCAACACAGACAAAACCTTTTCTCTTTAGAGAGTAAGCACAGAATGGCTCATTGATACCCTATCATTTAACACCAAATTAAAATTGTGTCTATTTTTTCAAAAAATATTTTATTATTTTTATTTTATGTATATGCATGTATTGCCTGCATGTAGGTAAGTGCACCCATGTCATGCAGTGCTCACAGAAGAGGCTGTTGGATCCCCTGGGACTGGAGTGACAGACAGTTGTTAGCTGCCATGTGGGTGCTGGGATTTCAACCCGGGTCTTCTGCAAGAACAGACAGTGTTCTTAACCGCTGAGCCATCTCTCCAGCCCCAGAACTGCATCTATGTCTATGTTTATTTTAGTTTAATATCCCAAATTATTAAAAACATTTTTTTCCTCCCTTTCCCTTTCTGCCCTTTAGCTGCCATGTGGGGGCTGGGAACCAAATCCAGGTCCTTGAAAGAGCAGCCAGTGCACTTAACCGCTGAGCCTTTTCTCCAGCCCCTGCACCCAACTTTTGACTTCATCTTTCTGTTTCTTTTTCTTTCTTTTTTTTTTTCTAAAATAAATCACATTCTTTTTATTCTTATTCTTTTTTTTTAATTTT